ACTCATGAGGTCAGAGCCATTGTAATTCACTCACCTCCCCGGGCCCTGCATCTGAATACAGGGAAACAGGCATCCAACACGTGAATTTTTAAGAGACACTGAAGATCCACATCACAGCAAGGTTAAAGAAAGAAGAAAAAGGAAAAAAACCCTATATGAGAACAATGAACTATACCATAGCAAAAATTATATTAAAAATCTGTGTTGATTATAAAGGAGATAGTAAAATAAATTGCAATAGCTTTAAGCAAATTGTATATAATATATCACAATATTACACATGATATGTAACTGTATAAAATAAACTACTCTTTTTCTTCACCCCCCCAATCATGTCATTCAATGAATGAAAATAATAAGAACTGTTCACTAATGAGGTAGCAGAAGGTTTTCTTGCTATGCTTGGAGAGTAATCACATGTAGTCAAGGGGAAGGTGTAGTTACTTTCCTTTCACCTGTGACAAAGGCAGCAAAGGGAGGGAAGGCTTGCCTTGGCTCACAGTTGAGAGTACAGCCCGTCATGGCGGGGCTTCTGGTGGCAGGAGCTTGAGGTAGCCGCTCACATCACATCCGCAGCCAAGAAGCAGAGGGTGATGGTTGGTGCTCAGCTCATTTTCTCCTTTTTATGAGTCCAGGATCCCAGCCTAGGGGATGGTGCTGCCCACTTCAACTAATCCAACCAAGATACCCCACGCAGACATGACTAGAGGCTAAATGTAATCTAAATAACACCTAGAGACTTGTCTCCTACATGATTCTGTATCCTATCAAGTTGAGGACACTAACTTTCACTGACAGCACCCAAATCCTGGTCTTTGGCAACTTTAGTTTCCCTTGGTGCTTGGCAGCAGGAAGCAGTGACAAGTGGTACACTCCAGTATCAGGGTCTCTGTTCAGTTCCTTGGTATGGAGCCTCAGCCCTGTGAGTGTTCTAACCCCACATAAGCTTCAGGCACTGGGGCCCTTGGCTCTTGCTTGGTCGTGTCACGGCTGAGACCCATCATAGTCCTGAAGACGGGACAGTTCTCTGGAACCCTTAGGGCCTGAGGTGGTTTTTCTGGCTCCTTGTAGCCTGCTGTCCTTTAGGCACCTCTCTGCTGTATTTCATCTCCCTGCTTCCCCTCTTCTTCCTGGCTGCTCTCAGATCTCAGATCTCAGGTCTCAGCTGCCAGCATGCTGCTGAGATGACTCAGGATGCCTGCCTCTTCTGGGACATCATTCAGACAAGGACATTCTGAAGGGCAGGACTGCTAGGCAGTGAGGATCACCACTGCTGGCCATGTCTGGGCCTGTGGCCACTTCTTCCTCAGCCACAGAGGACTCATGCCAAGGCCACTACCTGCCTCTCAGCTTGGTAGCCGCTAATGCTATCACCAGCACTCTCCACCATCTCTCTCTTGGTGTTATCAGCTCAGTGGGTGCTACTGAAAGTAAGCAAGACAGTATCACTGTGGAATCCTTTTTATCAGGTCAAATACCAGAGAATGCAGCACAGAAGAGCATCTCCCAGCCCACTCACTGAGCGAGCCTAAGCGGACTGTTTATATAGCCCTGGGTCTGGACCAATCGCAGCCATTTGGGGGCAGGGTGTCAATCATAATCTTGCATTTTAGCACCTTTCATAATCATTGAGGCTTGTTGTGTTTTGGGCCAAGGGACTCTTAGCAGTAATTAGTCCTTCCACCAGGGGAAATGTCTTCCTCTTCCTCCCACCAAAGGGGAGATGGTGGCAGGGTCATCTAGAGTTCATGAGTCTGGCACAAGCTGTCTCAAGCAGCCCTGGTTTAAAAGATCCTTTAAGATCCAGGGTGGTTAGCTGTGATCATTATAGTTACCCTAAACCATCCATAGAGAGTGTACAATGAAGGATGCTGGTGTTAAAGAGGAGTCCAGCCAGCTGTTATGCTCTGTCCTTTTGCTCAGGGTAGCAAGGGTGAGTCCGTAGTTGCTAATTAGGAAATCAGGTTGTCCCAGCATTATTGCATGCCTACAATATTTTAAAGAGTGTCTGATTAATACCAACCATGACTTAACAGTGCTTGAGCAGAGTCTAACACCTGCCCAGTACCCAGGAAGGAGTGAACTCTTCATCTCTCTTAAATTCAGGATTAACAAATGAACTGCTTAATAGGTTCAATACTTTTCCCAGAGAAAGAAAATCTATGAAATTGAGAAATAAAATCCACAGACCTTCATTTCTCTATTTGTAAATATTTGAATTTTTTTCAACCAAGCAGTGAGTATAGATGTCATTCCTTATAATTTTTGTTTGTATGGTTGGTTGGTCAGTTTTGAGATAGGGTCTCTCTCAATAGCCCAGACTAGTCCACAATTCACAGTCTTCTGCCTCATGCTCCCGAGGGTTGGAATTGCACACAACTGGCGCCTAGCCTTTTGTAACTTTGCTAGCGTATGATATTTCAGAATTTGATAAAAAAGGAAGTAGATAAGGACAGAGCAAATTGTAATCTACATGCTGGAGCAGAAGTGTGGTTAAAAGTGAGCTGGTTGATCTAACAGATCTCATACTGGCCCCTGAAGGCACGAGGACCATGGGAGGCGAGAGTAAGACATGAGCTGATAGCATCCAAACAAGTTCAGTCTGCCTCTGGAGACTTCTGCCCTTAGATCACCTGCCCCCTGGAAGCTGGTCTTCTCTCTGGAGAAAATGAGCCACATAACCTCATAACTTAGGTACATTCAACATCACTGAGGCCAAGTGAAGACAAGAGAGTCAGTAGGCATTCTATTTACTGAACTATGGGTCTTCTGGGCTGGGGAGGGGCAGTGCTCCCCACCCCCTCATTGTAATAGTGGAAGAGCTGAGATAAATACTATCTGGTCCACAAAACCTCAAACATTTACAATGTAGACCTTGCACGAATGGCTCCCTAATATGAACTTAGAGAAAAATGAATGTCCTCAGGGGAAAGGCTCTAACTCCATTTCAGGGCTCTAGTAAAAAGACAAGCAGGCTGGCTGGGACCTGCCCAGGATACCCATCAGTTTACAAACTGCACACACACACACACACACACACACACACACACACACACACACACACACACACACACATACACACACACAAACTCTAAGCAGATGTGTACTTGACTCTTCAGTACAAATAGATGTCCAAAGATTTTTTTTCCAGATCTTCAAGCAAAGCCCTAGACTAAAAGGACATCATTGACATATGCAAACAGAAGGAAGGGACTTAGAGACCCCCAAACAACCCAACTAACAGAAGAAATGTATGATAAATACGGAGGATTGGTGACCTTTGATCATGAGAGGACATTTCCTTGCTAAAACAAGAAACTTGGTGCTATGAAAAGAGTAAAGTCTTAAGAGTGTGTCCACCTACATTTCAAATACATAACTAGATATGTCAAAAGACAGTTAAACAAAGATATGAAATATTGAAAGAAAAATTGGAATCATAGTCCTGGTTGTTCATGTGTTAATAAAAGTTGTCATGCTGAAGGAGAAAACTAGAAGATTAAGAGTATTAAAATAGCAAAGAAATAAAATTTATGGGGGTATTTTAAAATTTATTTCACACTGTGCTCAGTATAATGAATAAAAACAACAGGCCATCATGAAATTGCAGAGCACTTTAGCAATAAAGTAGAGGCCCTAAATTCACATAGAAAGAAACTGACAAAGTAGCAACAGGCCACATGGACTCAGAGTTCTCAGTAGTAACACCGGATGCCAAAAACATAGAGTAATGCCTTCAGAATTCTGAAGGAGGGTGACTTTTAACATGGTAACCTATGCCCACCACTATCAGGCAGGGAACTCCTGATGGAGTACCTGACACAAGATGTAAAAAAAATATATTTCTAGATGTGGTGTTACAGATTTGTTGAAAGAAAGAAGAAAGAGAGAAAGAAAGAAAGAAAGGAGGGAATGATGGAGGGGGAGAGAGAGAGAGAGAGAGAGAGAGAGAGAGAGAGAGAGAGAGAGAGAGAGAGAGAGAGAGAGAGAGAGAGAGAGAGAGAACCCACTGACCCACTAGGAAAGACTAGGACACTGCTTAGCTGAGCAGCCAATTTTATCCAGTTAAATAAAATGGACACTGATTTAACAACAATGATTGGATGAGTTCATCTGAAAGCTCATCAGGAGGCAGGAATGGGGGTGCTCGAGACCAATGAGTAGAAGGTAAATCCTTGTCTAAAATTAATAAATCAAAAACAGTTATAAAGCATACAGGTTCAGTCAAATGCCGGAATAAGCAAAAGATCGAAGGAAGATTCCTCCGCGAGAAAAGATGGGGAAACAGCTAGTACTATTGCTCCTCCACACCCCCACTCCGACCCTGCATACAATCATTTTAGTACTGTATAATAGGCAGTTAGGTTCACTGTGCTTGTCACATGTATTCATGTGTGTGTGTGTCTGTACATGTGCACACACACACATGTACCCTACCCTTTGTATGTCGAGATAGCCAGCATTGCCCCTAGTCATTTTCTGTTTTCGATATACATGTTAGCTAGTCATATCCATTAGGTTATAATTATAACTAGAAAAACTAAGTTGCTTTTGAGGCTAATCCTATGTGAAGTTATAGTCAGGTTGAATTTAAAAGTCTCCACAGCAAGTGAGTCATTTGTTTGGGGATTCTGGTAGAACTGCGGAATTCCTTGTGGAGTCTACTTACTTTTGAAATCCATAATCTTTGGAGGTTGGGCATCACACCAATGAGTTGGGACCTCTGTATCAGTAAGCCTGGCACAAGCAGGGGGAGAGGCACCAAGGTTCCAGGAAAAAGTTAAGCATTGAGAAATGACATCAGCGTGTGTGCTGAAACCTAAGGCGACAGCAGGGCAAACTGAGGTTTGTAACAGGAAGGGAGTAGGACAACCAGCCGAGAGAGGCTCAGGCAGTCAGAAACGGGAGTGGATTTTCCGGCGAACACTCTATTGCGGGTGTGGGACGGAGCTGAGTGCTTTCCTAGGAAATCATTCTCCTTTCCTTGCTTCCTCCCACAGCTTAATCACTTACACAGAGCAGTATGTGGAGTATGACCCCTTCATAACGCCAGCAGAGCCATCTAATCCTTGGATCAGCGATGACATCTCTTTATGGGACATAGAGACGAGGTAAATTAATAGTAATAATAATAAGGTTTGGGAGAGGGAGGGATGTTGAGAAAAAAAATCCATAATCTCATGCAATCACCTTATTCCCTGTTTTAATTTGGAGAAGACCAGAAGAGAAAAAGCCCATGCGCTCTCCATGCTGACATCTGTTTGCTTAAGGTCCCTTCCTCCTTGAAGCTTTGGTTTGTACATGAGTTCTTTGTGGCTTCTCTCTGGCCCCTCTCTGGATCTCTGTGTGTCATGGTAGCTGTCACAGCTCCTCACCATTTCCTAGCTCTGGATGTTGGAACAATCCTATCCAGCCCCTCTCCGCACTTGTCCTTACCTGACAGCACTTCCATCAAACCTTCAGCTGCAAACACTGTTCTCACTGTGGAACGGATGAGGAACCTCAGACAGCAGAGTTGGGGAACTTGCTGAGGATGCACCGTTGGAATGCAATAGCATTGAGAGCTCCGGAGCGGTGGCCGGCCTGATGCCTTCTGAGGTCACAGGCATCCGTAGCTTCATCAGCTCTTGGCTCTGCCCATGGAAGGAAGCAAATGTGTTGACTTAAGGCTCAGAGGAACTTGGAGCACAGTCAGAATTCCATGACATGCAGGGACAGTTTTGTGTGGCATCCCCTCAGCTCTGCTCTTGGATTTCTTCTTCACCATGACTCCAGTGTTCTCTTTCTCTCTGGTACTCCTGCTGTTTTCTTTCTCAGAAATGGAAAACACTGGTAACAATTAAAGTCATAGAGGCTTACTATACAAAGCTTAACCTATCCTGGCATGCATACAGAAGAAAACGCCTCCCTTCCTCCAACCTGCCTCTGCCCATTGCCTGACACCCGGGTTCCCACACTGCACCAAGGTACCCAGGGCACTAAGAGAGAGGCCTTCCAGTCTGTGTGTGCACTGCTGATCCAAACTCCAAGACATCTGTTGAGTCAGCCATCACGTACGCTACTGGCTTAGATGGATTCAGTGTGAGAATCAAACCACATCCCATCCTTTTTAATGCTGAATCTTTGCAAATCTAGGTTTTCAGAGAAGTTTGTGATTTAAAAACTGTGCTGCACAAAAATCGATATGGACTAGGAAATGAAGGTGGCCATGAGAAAATGTGCAGTGTGTAACATATATACATAGGGATTGTCATAGTTAGGATTAACATTGATGTGATGGAACATCATGATCAAAAGTAACTCAGGGAGGAAAGAGTCTATTCTGCTTACACTTCCTGGGGACAGTTCATCACTGAGGGAAGTCAGGGCAGGAACTCAAACAGGGTAGGAGCCCAGAGACATGAGCTGAGGCAGTGGCCATGGACTGGTGCTGGTTACTGGCTTAGTCCACATGGCTTGCTTAGCCTGCTTTCTTATAGAACCCAGAACCACCAGCACAGGGTTGGCAATACCCACAATGGACTGGGCCCTTCTCCATCAAACACTGGTTAAGAAAATGCCCTGTAGGCTTACCTACAGCCCACTCTTAAGTTCAATTTCTCAGTTGAGGTTCCCTCTTACCAGATGACTCTTGCTTATGTCAAGTTGTCATAAAAACTAGCCAGGAAAGGGGTTAAGAATGAAATTGAGACATTTTTTCCTTTGGTGTATGTACATTTCACACAGTTGCTATTGCTAGGCAACAAACACATGTTAAGTTGACTGACCCCAACCTTATAAACAAAAATGTTAGATGTTTCTTTGAGCTCAGGGAGACTGTAAAACTTAAGGTGTCATGAACTCAGAATGTTTGAGAGGCTCTGAATTAGTGACTCTCTCTTTAAAAAAATTTTTTTTGGTTTTTCGAGACAGGATTTCTCTGTGGCTTTGGAGGCTGCTCTGGAACTAGCTCTTGTAGACCAGGCTGGTCTCAAACTCACAGAGATCTGCCTGCCTCTGCCTCCTGAGTGCTAGGATTAGAGGTGTGCCACTACCGCCCAGCTAAACTTTTTATACATAGAAAATATTCTTATCTCTAATGTAATTATGTTCTATATAATCACACACATATATGCTATTTTAATTCACACACACACACACACACACACACACACACACATATATATATATATGCACATACCAATCTACCATATCCTTTTTAATATCTATATAATATTCCCTGGCATGAGTGAAGTAAAATTTATTTAACCAATCCCTGGGCCATAACTGTTCAACTCATGTCTGTTTCTGTAATATAAACAACAAATCAAGGAGCATCCCTACACCCCACTTTAATTGGCTTTTATTAATTTTCCAGAAGTAGAGTTACTTGGAATGGAATGCATATTTTAACTTTAGGACATGTGCCAGATCTTCCTAATGAAAACTGAACCCCCCTTTTCTACGACTTTAAAGGGAGCCGTCTCCGTCATCGCTGTCAACCCCTGTGTTAGCAGTCTTTCTGTCTTTGTAAACCCAACTGGTTGAATCGAATCTCATTTTGCTTTCTATATCTTCACTGGTGCAAAAATATGTTAATAGAGCATTTTTTCATGTGGTTATCAGAGATTCATTCTTCCGCGACTTTCCAGTCACCTGTCCTCTCCCCATTTCCCCTCCTGTGGTGGCTTTGCTTTGCATATTGGGACAAAAGTCCCATGTGCTCTGGCTTGCTTTTTTCCAATTCCTTCCTTCTTCTCCTTTTTCTTTTCTTCTCCCCCAAACTTTGAATTTTCTAATCAACTCTTGCGTTGCCTCTTCAAATTCTAGCTTCCATTCTAGCCATAGTTACATTCCACTTCTATTTTGAAGTTTAAACGGTCAGTAATCCGTAACAGGGCATGTGTGCAGTTGGAAGCACAAGCTTCCCTGTGCCTTCCCATATTGCACACATCCCCAGAGGCATGTTAACATAATGCATTTGAAACCAGCATTCTGAATTTACATCTCTGTCAACACTGTGAGAACAAGTAGGTACAAATGGACATCTGCTTTTAAAAGTCTGTTTCTAGTGTGGCCATTATTAGGTACTTTTCTGTTGCTGTGATAAAACACCATGACAGGCCACTTTTAAGGGGGGATTGATTTGGGCTGTGGTTCCATAGGGTTGACAATCCATCACCATCCTGGAAAAGCAGCAGGCACGGGCAGCAGGCATGGTGGCTGCAGGCAGCCCCAAGCTGTGAGTTCACATCTTGAACACCAAGCAGGAAGTAGAGAGTGAAAACCAGGAGCAGGCAAGGCCTCAAACTCTCAGGGCCTGCCTCCAATGGCAGACATCCTCCAGCAAGGCCGTAGGGGATCCTAAGTCTCCTCAGAGAACACCACCAGTAGACCAAGTGTACAAATGCTGACACTACGGGAAACATTTGTTGTTCAAACCACTACATAGGGAAAGAATTTAAAACCTTCACTATCTCAGGTTGTCTTTTTTCCTCCTCATCCTCTTGTTTCTAATTGTTTTAATTACTGCTTCTGTATTTTCCATGTTGTTCCTTTTAACTGTATAAGTACGTTTTAGTTCGTATTTCTAAAGTTTTTAAATTTGAATTCTGTCTGTTTCTGTCTCTTCACCCCCAAATGGTTTGGGGGTTTTGGTTTTGGTTTTGGTTTTTATGTTCTTGCCTGTCTGTCACCAGTGGTGGCTATGGTCTCCTTATTTTGTTTTGTTTTGTTTTGAATCAGGATCTGGTCAGTATACACACACACACACACACACACACACACACACACACACACACACACACACACTCCCTTTGCAAGAGGCTTCCATTGTGTAGAGCCTGCTGTGTCTTTCACAGCTTCTCCCCTGTGCTCCTGTCTCGGGCTACCCCACTGCTCTGTTGAAGTCCTGCCACCCAGAGCCTCAAGGCTCTCCAGCTGTCCCCTTCCACAGCTCTGCTGCAGTCATGGACTGCCCTCTCTCTACCAGCTCTGTTACAAGTCTCATTTACTTGTTTCAAACCTCCCAGAAATGCCTGGACTTTGTCATTCGCCTGAAGAGCATGTTGTTTCTCTACATATTATGACTGGGGTTAAAGACAAAACCACAGACAGACCAAATCCATTTTACTGAGCTTCAGGGCCTTACCTGCTCAGTCTTCTGAGCCATGTGTCCCTCCCACTTCCTTCTCACTCAAGCCCTCCCGAGCATGCTGGCCCCCTAGCATAATGGCATGACTGTCCTACTCCTCCAGATGCTACATCACGCCCCTCTCTGGTTCACTTCTAACGAGGACCCATGCCTGGCTTCAATCTAGTCTTCTAACTGGAACACAGCAGGCACTCAAAAGTGCAGACTGGGTGGACGGTAGCTGAATAATTTATTCCTTCTTTGGTCATTTCACAGACAGTTGGGCCAAGAAAGGTAAGTGCCCAAAGCTAGTTCACTATGACAAAATGAAATTTCTCACTTGTCCCTAACTAGATAAAGAAGCACATGGCTGCCTGGGGAAACGGTAGCCACCTTGCCACTAGATTTATCTCAGACTGGTCTGCGTTCTGTCCGCTGCACAACACTACCCGCCCTATAGCAGGCGGTCCAGTTCTGTTGTTACTGTTAGCGCCTCTACCCTAAACTAACGCCTAACCTAAGAAAAAAATGTAGCCACCGAGTTTTATCTACCCAAACAAACGGCGCTCTGTAGACACAGGTGAAAACGAGGCCATAATTCTTCCCTTGGAAGAATGTCTGTACCCACTCAGAGGCTTACAGAGATGCCAGGAGCAACACAAACTGTGAGACCTGGGCTGACATTACACTTCAGCCTGATGAAGATCCCTAATCTATATAGTAAGTCCCAAGACGACCAAGAAAACAACAAAAGCTAGGTTTTTTGTTTTTGTTTTTCTGTTTCACCTTAATTTAGCCTAAATGGATTGAGACCTACTTTGCACTGTGTTCTGAGTAAGAAGTCCTCTGGATAAAAATCTAACGAAGCCAGTAAGACTCGCTCGATGTCTTACCACCTGGCACCAGAATTCCTCCTTGCTTGGCAAAGGGCATTCAGCCACTCAGGGTGTAAATCAAATCCTGTGGGCAAGGCTTTGGCAGACTCGAGCAACAAAGGAG